TTTTTTTGGAACAAGGCCACTGGGGGAAAGTCTAGGTGGTACGCTCAGAGGCTCCAAAACCAGGGCGGTACGCCTCAATTTTTTTGGAACAAGGCCACTGGGGGAAAGTCTAGGTGGTACGCTCAGAGGCTCCAAAACCAGGGCGGTACGCCTCAATTTTTTTGGAACAAGGCCACTCACTGGGAAAATGGACAGAATGCATGGGGGTTAACTGGAGAAGGACAGGGAAAGACTGGGAATGAAGGCTCCAAAGCCAGGGCGGTACGCCTCAGTTTTTTTGGAACAAGGCCGTTTGATTAAGCCTTTGCGTTAGTGACGCGCCTCATCGATTAGGTCAGTCACTAGTGCAAAACCTTAATCGAGCGCAGGTTTTTGAAATTGGGCGTTGACACTGCGCGGTTGCAGGGGGGGGGCGTTTCCCCCCTGCCTAGTCACGCACCTCACCAATCATGAGCGTCACTCACCCCAACAGAATCACAAAGCAAACTTGCCGCAACACCTAATCAAACATTGATTTCTTGAACGTTCTTCAACTGAGAAGGGGTGAGTGAGCTATGTCATTGATCATTGGCGTCACTCAGAACCAGGGGAAACTACCCTATCCAGAGTGAGCTGCTTTTTTTCTAATCCTTAATTCTTGCAATACCTTAAGCTTGCGCCCACCCTGGTCAAGAGAGGGTGAGAAGAATATTCAGCAAGACTAGTTGGAACTTTCTCAGCACCAGCTAGCTTTGCTTAATCAAGAAACATAAAACGATCCATGCCGTTGTACTTTATTAAGCAAGACTAGTTGGAACTTACTCAGCACCAACTAGCTCTGCTTAATAACGAATAGACCTCTGCAGTTAGACTTTATTGTGCCAAACTAGTTGGAGCTTACTCAGCGCCAACTTTGTTTGTACGAAAACTATTGGGAACTACACGTTATTAAGCAAAACTAGTTGGAGCTTATTCAGCGCCAACGATTTTTGCTTAATCAACTTATTTTTATTATTAAGCAAGACTAGCAAGCACTTACTCAGTGGCCACATTGCTTTAAAAAACTTGAAGTTCTGATCGCTGTAAAGAAACTCAGAACAAGACAACACACACACACCAACAGCTTGTCCTTGCCTGCGCTTGCCTTAAAAAGCAACAATTGCAAAACTTTTCAGAAAAACACAGCCAAGCATCACGAATTGAAGCGTGACAGCTATCATTGATATTGATGCATTTTCTTTTTTTCCATGTGCTGAGTCGATTGAAGTCAAGCCATATCGTTTTGTGGATGGCTTTCACATGATATTCATGGACTCAACACTTTCTCAAGGCCACAAAAGGTCTCCCCTGTACATTGCGTAGCAAGATGTACTTGCCTTTCATGGGATTCTTCTTTCACGGAAGGATCATCTGTCACACTGGCGTGTCTGTCAAAAGTGAGACGTTGAACCTCTTCTTCCGCTTGATCCTGCCAAAACCAAATTGGCTTCGGTTTTCAATGCGGCACACCCACCCTCTGGCTTTGAGGAACCTCTTGAAATTAATCCACTGCGCCACGGGCAGGGCAACTTGAGGTGTTCCTTCAGCGGCTGAGTCGTGCTGCACACAGGTGGCATCATGAACAAAGCGCGTCCATTGAATGGCATGTGGAACCGCCATCCGGAAAGCTGGACAAGATGGCTCGATGACCGTCAGGGCTAAGGCTTCCCGTGGATACGGGTTGCCATCACCAGGACGAAGATGTTTCACATGGATCCATCCCTGAACTTGTCGAGGCCTTGGATGATGCCGCATCATAGCTCTTGAGCTTTGCCCCCTAGCCCTTGCTTTTGCTTTTGCCTTCGCCTTTGCTTTTGCCGCTGGAGGCATGGCGACAGATTGGGTCTAGGCAGGTGAGGCCACTCAATGTCAAGCTGAGATGCAAAATGCTGCAGAATCCAGAAACAATGCAGAATCCAGAGTCCAAAATGACAGAACAATTTGGCGCTTAAGGAAATACATAGAAACGAGAATAATCTTGCCACTTACTCAGCGCCAAGACTTTTCTTGTTTCATTTACACGGACGAGTGCAAATTCATGGGGACCCTGGCCAGCTCAGCAAACATGGCGAACAAGCAAGAACATGCGCCTCGACCGTCACCAGTCTCACCCGCACATTTTGCACAAATCCCTTCCCCGATCACTATTGACAGATAACTATCGCACGTAAGATTGCTCCAAGTCCACCTGGTAGATGAAATCTCGGAAGCGCTGTACAGTCCATGCGTGGGAAATGCTTGCAAACAGTTCCCTCTCATCCTCATGCACCAGGGCTATGACCGAGGCAGGCGCCTTCCGATCCATAGCGCGCTGCTTGGCCTGCGCAAATTCTTCCAAGGTGCCTGCAAGTTTGAACGTCCGGCACTCCAACTTCTGGAGCAGGTCGTAGATGGCACGATTGCTCTCTTTGCACTTCTCAGTGCAGTGCACCTTGCGCTCTGTGCGCAATCCTCGTTTCATCTTCAAGCATGGCCCACTCCCACTGATGACAAAGCCTGGGGTTGTCAACCAGGCACCAGTCAGCCCAACAGCGATGGATGTCAGAAGGGGCAAATTGTTGAGATTGGGTAAGACAAGTACCTGTGCCGAAGCCAGTTGGAGTGTCACATGCCAATCCTTCTGGTCCATGGCATTGTCCAGCTGGCGGCAGCGCAAATCATCAGCAACCATGACAGCCAATCCATGCAATTCCTGCACTGGAGGCTGTTCTCTCCGACGGACTTGCTGACCCAAACGTAGCTCGGCCCTCTCCCGCTTGAGCATGTTGGCTTCTTTCTTTTCAAAGTAGCTGATGGCTTCAGGCAACATTTCCGCTGGGACCTCATTGATCTTAACTGTTCCGGAGCGAAGACATTCAAAGATCTGTTTAATTTCCTTCTTCGCATTGAAATGAAGTTCCCGATCATGGTCATCTGTCCAGGCAGCCGACGAGCAAGCAACCACTTTGTCATGTGGATCATGTGGGTTCTCCATGCCACGTTGGACGGCCAAACGGCGTCTTTTTTTGAATTCTGACTCCGTAACCTTTTCAGGCGTCATCTGCCATTCCTCAGGCTCATCATTGTCTTCGCAAATTTGGGGATTCCGCTTGACACCCTTGTCAAAGCGGGCCTTAGACCTCTTGCGTGCTGCTGCGTAAATCTCAGACCAGACACGTTGCGCCAGTGAAATGACTTCTTTGTCATGATCCGGGTCGGCCACAGTCAACATCAGGAGCTCGTTTTCCACAATTTGGTCACATTGCAGTCTTGTTTCTCCAAGAGTGTGTTTCATCCTGGAAAAGTCCCTTTCCAAGACACTATCGGAGGCACTCAATGTGGCATAATGAGCCAAAGCGACCTCAAGATTGTCCACAGGATGCCGTCGTCTTGCTGCAGCGCTGGAAGTCTTTGCCAGGGCGGACTTCCAACTATCCAAGTTGGAACAAGTTGGACGATGCTCCTTCCAATGACCATATGCTATTTGACCAAGGTCAAAGAATTCTTGCTTAAGCCCCTGCATGTCAAGCTCCAGGCTGTTTGCAACGCGCTCAAGCTGTGCGTCAAATTTCTGGCTGAAGTCTTCCTGTTTGATTCTAGCAGCTGTTTGCTGTGGAAACTGATTCAGGTCAAACAATGAGAAGCATTGAACCAGTTCAAATGCCGGGTGTTCCGCCCGCACGACTTCCTCAGCCAATTTCATCCATGCCAGCATTCGTGACAAGCACTGACTCTTGACTTCCTCCTTGACTCCATTTGGCCCGCCCAGGCATCGCACCACACCACGTGTGATGAAATGCGTCGGGCTTTGCAGGAACTTGAGCGTCACTTTCGTGTACCCAGGAGAAGTCCAAACGTGCTGCCTGATTGCAAAACACATCAACAAATATTGTAAATGTTCTGAAGATTCTGAAGTTGAAAAACAAATGAACTTGACACTTAGTTGATCAAAAGACCAAGTTACTGCTCAAAAAGAAACTGGATCCGGCTGAGGAAGTCCGAGATGGCTTCGGCGATTTTTGCGCTGTCTACCTCCGCCTGGTCAAAAAACCTGATGAGGATCAGGCACTCATCACAGGCGTCGGATAGGAGGGCTGCTTGCAGAAGCATTTCTTCATCTATAGTATCCAGCAGAGCCTCTGCAAAGCTGCACGCAGGATCCCCTTGCCTTTCAGCACAAATGCGGCCCAACACTCCAAAGACCGCCTCCCAATTCAAAGCCAGCCTGCTCAATGGGGTGGCAAGGCTCTCGTATCGGTGTTTCGCTGCACGCAGGTGTGTCCACTTGTTGGTCACTGCACCACTGGTTGATTGCTTGCACGCTTCCTCATACCAGCATCGAAGGTCATCGGAGTGTTGAATCATCTGTGACAAAGAACCGGACTCGGTGACCAAAGCGCCTGCCACCACTGAAAGGTATTTGTCAGCAGCCCAAGGGCGACTGAGTATTCGGCGAGAACCGTGGGCCTTGTCTTTGACGATTGTCCGCAAATTTGGTGCTACTGCTTCACCAAAGTTTGCGGCAGTTGAGGATTTGTTGGAGAGCATGTTTTCTCCACTGGTGACCTCATTGCCAGCCGCATCAACCGTCAGATAATGAATGCGATGTCGAATGTGCTTCAGAAGTTCGACATCAACTTCTTGAAGTTCAGTGGCAACGGCCTCTGAGACATTTGGCACGCCATGGTTTTTGCAACAGAAGGCAGTAAGCAAATCCACGGTGACATTGGTTATGTTTGTCGCCGTGCTTGGATTCACTCTGCCTTGACCCAATACTCCAATGAAGCGCTCGGCTTGCCTTATCTTGCGCACCAAAGTCTGGAAGCAACGTCCGACTAAGCCTAAATCAAAAAACAAAAGAAAAGGAGGGTCAAAATATCATCCGAGGGGCAAAGTCGCACCGCGAAATCGGACGAGCAACCTTGAATGCCGCTCATCCCTGAGGATGTTGATAGTTTCACACTTGCTTAGCTGAGCACGATAAAGCCTGCGGAGCGACTCTGTCAACACAAAACACATGCTTCGGGACTTCTTGAAATGGCCAACCCCAGCAATGCCATCACGAAGACATTGGCCTTTGCGAACCCATTGCAGCAAGCACTGGAAAGAATTACCATCCGGAGCCGCGTCGTGCCGCAGCGGCATTTGCGCCGGAAGATCTGCTGATGGTTGCAACAAGCGCATCACAGCTGCCAAATGAGCCTTGGAACTCTCATGCGATTTCACTCTGTAGGGCTTAAGCGCTTGCACTGTTGTGATCTCAAAGCGACCCCACACATCACGATCCCCCAGTGGGAGCAACTCCGAGCACACGATGCATCCAATGGCAAATGAATGCCCTTCCTCCACATGGGCAGCCAGCCAAGTTTCATCCCCCAATCTATCGACATGTTCCTCAAGAGCTTCTTTCGGACACATCTCAATAATTTTGGCTGAGATGATTGGGTGTTTCGTCTTGTCCAGCTTGCCATAGTGCTTGCAAGGACAGCGGTCATTGCATGAATGCTCGCCCAAGGCATCC